TATGCAAAAATTGCACAAAAATTACGCAATTATTACATTCAGTGTAAATATTACGTCCTTTTTATGTGAAATATTACGACATTTCATATTAAAACTTATGGATGTAATATTACGGCGGGAAAAGTTTCCTGATGGCCCAAAGCTAACTAATATGAATAAAAATTCTGGTAACAATATTTATTTTTATAACAAAAGATATATAAACACTTACAAATGATTTCTTAGTTTGTTCATATGATTTTCATTAATAAAATTCATCATTTCTTTTTGAATTTGACTTATCCAAAATTTCTTTCCATTCATCATTTGAAAAATTATTTCTAAGCCATGGTAAGGATTTGATGTCAACAATTGAAGAAACTATTGGATCATCATAGTTCAAGTGATCTGGTGCAGGGTTGGCAAATGTATGGTCCATTGGTGGTCTATTGGTTCCATCAGTGTAACATTTCATATTTAGTAATTTATTAATGCAATGGACCAATCAGCTCTTAATGGACCAGTCAATTTGCCAACTCTGATCTGGTGCATATCTGTCTATTATGTGGTTTAATCTAAGTTGCAGTGTCATATGTTGTTGGGTTGCAGCTGATGATAATGACACATTATTTACAACATTTTCTATTGGAGCGAATGCTTTTCTTTGAAAGAGCCATGGCCAATCTGACACCTTTTCAGCCTGAAATAATAAAAATAATGAATAAATCAATTGATTTTATAATCAGATTAAATATATAACCATCAAATGGATCAATATTTACATCAAGCTCCATTATATCAATGTTATTTTTTAAAATTTTTCATTACTGATATCATCTTCAACCTTTTTTTTAAAAGAAATAATAATGATTTTGTGTTAGAAATTTTTTGTGTTGAGAATATAGTAATTTATTTTAAGGTTCATAAATCCATAATTAGTTTCAATAAAATTTACTTACACTAGTTGAAGGTGATAGAAACAATGACTCTGAAGAAGTTAATAATGATCTAATACAAATACAAAGAGGTTTTAATTTATCATTATGCAAACTAAAATAGCTCATAAAAAAACAACTACTCTCAAACAATACCTATGAAAGTTTTCTCTTTGCTTGTCTTGTTCTTTTATCTCTGACTATAATGGAAAGCTGTGGTGATAACCACCATTCTTTTAATAATAACTAGTGACAACAAGTAGCAATAACAACTGTTCCTATGGTGCGCGAAGTCTATAACCACCATTTACTGTGCCACACTGCCAAATTTCACCAAAAACTCAAAAACCAAAATTTGAAAATCATTCAAAAAATAATGATTTTTTTTTGACA